TTTTTAATTGTTTACACACTTGAAAAATGCTTGATTTTGTTTCTTAATACATACACCTTTTTTTATTTAACGAATGCTTATTTCATAGGTACATAGCAGAAAAGCGGTTGCTTCATATATTCTAACATAAGTACAGTGAAGCACCGAATTATTCTCCATTGATTTTTTTACGATATTTTTTTCGAAATATTTTTCATAGGGAATTTTTTTCGTAATGTATTTTTCATAAAAATATGTAAATGAGAAATTCAAACTTTAGGGAAAATTAAGGATAAATCAGCAAATTTTTATGAAAATTTTTAAAACTTAAGATTTAAAAACAAATCACGCATGCGATTTTGTAGTCGATTTAATTTTACTGCATATAATAAAGTGCATATTCTATGTTGCTAAAAAATACCGTTGATTTTTTATACACAGGGGTTGAGCTTATTTTTATATAAAAAAAATGGTATCAAAATGAAATTATCAAAAACCAACGGAACTTAAAATTTGCGCTTTGTTCTACTAAAATGAAAAAGCTGCAAAAATGTGATTGACGAGTTTGAAATTTTAACGACAATTTTCTGAATTTTATTTAATTTTCTCCAAAGTTTAATGTTTTCATTTACATGGTTTTTGTAGTAGAATGAGCTACTTATGTAGTTTTATAAAAATTTACAAAAAAAAATCTACCATGAAAATCAATGCAAAATAGTTCTGTGAGTCAGTTTACATGCAGTCGCTCATAAAATTTAGTATACGCTGATTTTTTTTTTTAAATATTCACTATTTTTTTCATTTAAAATATTTTTTGTTAATTTGTTTTTAAAACATGCTTGAAATTTTTACAAACACCATACAAATCCAAGTTTCGAACCTTGTATGAAATTTAAAATTATTCTGAAATTATTCAACAAAATATGACTCTGATATATTCTTTTAAGCATATAAGTATACAAAAATTAAGAAAATAACAGCACTATCTCAAGGCCATCGACTGTTCATTAAAATCAAAAACTTCTTAGTAGGAATTTCTAAAAAAGTCGAGTCTGCCACTTTATATTATAGCCCATGCAATTTTAGTAGAATGATTTTTTTTCGCTGACGTCGCTATGCGTTTGCTTCCAAATAAAAAAAAATATATGAGAATAGGTACTTTATTTGCAGAATTCTTCTAAATTTCGTATGGTATGTTTTAAAGTATAAGCCATATTTTAACAAAAAAAAAAATAAAAAAAAATATTTAGCATGGAAAACATTGCGAATATTTAAAAAACCACCGTAAACTCAAGTTTGTGAGTGACTGTACATACATGCATATGTACAAAAGTATATTTGTATATACGTATACCAGTAGTATGTATGTATGTTACATACATATCGTTACCTTAATTCACAAAGGCCCTAACCAGCAAATTTTCCGTTTTACAGAAAAAGCAAAAAACATTAAAAAAAGTAAATCAAAAATTGTAAATAGGGCTCTTTTGAAAGTTGCATAACTCCATTGTTTTTGATTCAAACAAAAGATTGAATTTTTAGAGAAGGTGTATTTAATATGTCATAGCAAAATCTGTGAAAAACGCTGTTTCGAAAAAAGTGTTGGTTAGGGCCTTTGTGAATTAAGGTAACGGTATGTACTCTAGTTTGCGATTTTGCAAATTTTTTGGATGCACAAGGACGAATAGGTAATTTTTTAAGCTGATAAAGTTGGAAGGACGAAATTCGAGGATGTTCTTGAGTCCTTAACATGCAATTGCAATGAAATGCCTTCTGAAGTCTAAAAAACACCATAATCAGAGCAGATAAATATACTACTGGAAGTCGTAAACGTGAATTGCCGGTAAAAATGTTGCACCAAAATGTTTCAATAAAAATTTCAATGACCGTAAATAGCAGTTATTTTTTCTACAGTTAAACTTGGCCAGCTATTTTTAAAATCCGATATAAAAATCTTTCCGGATAGTAAACAAACCGCCTATCCAAATTTAAAAAAAAATTTGGTACCAAATGAAAGATGACTTGAAACAGCGTTTAAACAGAAATAACGAACGAAGGGTGCCACTTCTATTTATATATTTTTTTTATAATTTAACACAAAAGAAATGCATATACCTGACGCAAGGTTTGTTCTATGGTAATTAAAAAATATTTGTACTGAAATATTTTTCAGTAGCTGGCTTTTCGCTGGCTTTCCTCGTTTCAATATTTCAGTTTTAAAGCTATTTTGGTCCTCTTTCAGTTGATACCAAACTTGTTTAATTTGGATAAGCAGTTTGTTTATTATTATGTATTTTATTTTCGACTAAAAAATATCTGGCCAGGTTTAACTATTGAAAAAAAGTAACTGTTATTTATGGTCCCTGAGAAATTTAACTTTGAACGGACCGAAGTTTGCCGGGTGCGCTAATATTTTTTTAATTTTTAAAATTTTTGTAAAAATTTTGAAATATGTATTTATATAGTGCTGGTTTTGTACCTAATGAGCCAGACTTAACAAAAAAAAAAATTGTAGCACTAAATAAAAAAAAAAAAAAATGCGCAAACTGGTCAAAATTACACTAACTTATATTTGTATGTACATACATATGTATGTATGCAGGCTGAGGAGCTTCAATTTAAATATCGGTTAATATTTAAATTTTTTTCTTTGGACGATTTAGCTGTATTGTTTTTTTTTTCATATATTTTTGTTTTATATGCTTATCACTAACACCTACATAAGTATGCATTGACGAGTGTGTATGATACTCGTACATTTAATTGCTTTTATAATTAAATTACATTTATAAATGTGAATCGGAATTATTTTTCATATACACACATTCAGCGCTTCCCAACGCTGAAGGAAGGGCAGGGCTAATGAGGCAGGGCTGGATATTAAACGGAAGCTACATACTCGCATGTTTTTAGAACGTGCACCCAAACATATGTACGTTAATATTTAGGAGTATTTTCGCATTTTATTTATATTTATAAATACATATGTATATTATGGATATTTATAATCAAATCGGCATATGCAGCATTTTAAGTCTTATTTTTTTTTTTAAATTTTACTTTTTATGGCAAGCGCAATTTATGCTAAACGTCAGTGCTATATATATATATATCTACCCACGTACATACAAGCAGCTGCTGAAGCTCATATCCTTTTAGATATTTAAAGTAAATACATTTACGGTACACATCTTTTATTTTCATAATATTTTTTGCTGGCTTTTAGACTGGCTTTACATTTCATTCATAAATCGAGTATTTATTTCGTTTCATTTAAGTATTGATTATAAAAATGAGTTGAATTAATATACATACATATATTTGCAGCTTCAAAGCTTCTAAGCTCTGTTACAATTCCTTTGCCATTTCGAATACCTCACCCTTCCGTTGGACATTATCACTACATATATATAACTACATACATATATACCTATGTATGTATAGATGTGTGTATGTGTGCATGTCTGTGTGTGTGTGTATGCAATTATTGAGCTTAAGCTGTAGTAATTTATCTTAATTAAATATCTAAATTTGCTTATAAATTCGTTTCAGTCCTTTGTGGCATGGCGCTCAACCCCAGCGCTGCTGTCACGCCATCACCGCAGCTTGAAGTCAACTTCGCTTTGAGCTCGCGTTCATTCCGGCTGTTAGTCGTAGCAGTTCCAGTCATCGCTGCTGCATCCTTCACACTAGCTGGTTGCACTCTTGCGCCCACACCCGGTCCCACACGGACGCCACTAAAAAGTTTCAAGTGCCGTAAAGTTTTCGCTGTCGCCTGCGTACGTTGGCTGCTGAGCGTCACCTGCGAATTGGCGCTACTCAGGTTCGAGACGGACGTGTGCATGCCGCTGCGACCACCGCGTGTTGCGCCAGCGCGCATAGACCATTCGTTCTGTTTGAGCAAAAATTGTTTCACATTGTACTCCATCTGAGCGATGTCCACATGTTGTGTGGTTGTGTGCAGCTCGGCGCTAATGGCGCGCGTCTTATCCGTATCACTGGGGTAGTACTTATAGTTGAGTATATCACAAGTTGGCTGCTCTGGCAGCATTGGCGTTGTGCTGCAAGCGCTATTGTTGTTGTTGATGTTGTTGTAGTTATTTAAGAACGCCTCAGCGGCGGACGATTGATTTGGATCCGGGCTGGAATAGGGCACCGGCAGGCCAGAGCGTGTTGTGCGGCGGTAATAAGTGTTTGCGGTGTAGGTTTGCGCTGGCGCGGCTTGATTGTAGCTACTCGTTGGGTAGTGATTGAAGTGGGAGCTATTTTTGCAATTGTTGTTGTTGTTGAGACTAGAATTAGTGTCGGTCTTGGGCGAGAGTGAGTCTTCGGTAGATTTATTCGCATCATCCAATGTCTGATGGTAGCCATTCGTGTGCGGTTGTGGTGTAGTCTTATAGCCCGAATCCATAGAGAGTTTCTCCATTGAGACGGAGTCGAGTTGGTCGAGCGTCGAAAAGGAGGACTGTCGATCTGTGCCGCCCGACGAGTCACAGTTGTTAGCAGAACTTGGCGTCTGCTGCTGCTGCACACGTTGCTGCTGCTGCTGTTGTTGTTGTTGCTCCAGCTGCTGCGTGTTGCTCTGCACCCATTCGGCAACACGATTGAGCTGTTGTCGTCGCAGTATGATGCTCTCTTGAAAGTCAATGGCATCGCTGACGGAACTAGATTGTGTACAAGACTTGGAATTGTGTGAATTTCTGGAGCTGGACTCATTTTGTAGCGAGTAATATGCGCCTGCATGCTTCGGCTTTTGCGCCTGCGCACACCTTTGTGCATCAAGGCGCATATTATTGCTGCCAGTGGTTGTGGTTGCCGCTGTGGCAGCGGCGGCTTGTGTCAGCGCAACGTCCAGCGCACTGGTGGGCTGACTTAGAGTAGATTTTTGATTGCTCAACGAACGTTTGTCAAATTCCTTTTCCACAGCTCTGACGTTGACACCATCCAAGCTTGCAACTGCATTGGTAGAATCTCTTTGTGCGGTGGGCGCTTCCAATAAATTTATAAGCGCTGCTGTTGCGCCATTCACATTGTCCGCAGCAGCGTTTTCTATCTCTACTCCTCCGCCACATAACCTATCGGTTACTGCATCACCCACTTCCTTTACAGTCAAAGCACATTCTTGCGCATTTTCATTAAGCTGCGATTGAGAATTTGTATTTCTTTCTGATACCTCTGTTTGTATGCTCATTGTGTCCACCAATTTTTCTTCCTCCCCCGTTGCACCCTCTGCTATTACCACAATCACGTCTTGATTAATCTCCGATGCTCTTTCAATGCTCACTTGCACACTTGTCGCATTCGAGGTTATTATATCCTTAGTGTCGTCCAACTCTTCGTCTAACAGACGCTCCCGCCGCTTATAAATTACAGGTGTTACCGCCTCCATGGACTCAATGTTGTCGAGTAGTATGTTGCTCTGTCCATTCTGCTGTATACGCATCGCGCAGAGGCGAGGACCGCGGTTTTTGGGATTTTCAGCCTGAAAAAGAGAAATATAAAGTGAAAAGAATCTCTTCGAATAGTTAAATCAGACCAGAGGCGTTAGAGTGTCAATAAGTTGGGGGAAAAGGCCCTCAAATTGGTTAAATAAGATTATATTGAGAATATGTGGGCGGAAAGAAATTACTCGGGCTACAGTACACAGTCAGCTTCTCACTGGCCTTGAAACAGCGACGAGAAGATACTAATTGACAACAAATTCTTATAGAATTCATGGGAGTGGTTTTCTTCCTTAGGATTGAACAGCCCTGAATACCGTTCAAACAGAGCCTTAGGGAATATAAAAACGTTGCAATGACAGCAGAAAGAAACTCGTGGTGGAACTCCTGCGAAGAAATGCATTTTCTCTCTTGATAATACCGAATATCACCGGCATTCATACTAAGTTCCGATGTAATGTGGACAGAGAGGTTTGGAAGCCCTGGACTTATTTCTGACAGCGTATTTTCGTGGAGCTACTGATAAGAAGGCTTGGATATTTACAAAATAAAGGGACGCAAACCGTTATAAAAGAACCTCCCTCCAAAGCCACACAGCGGTTCAGAGATAGGCGCGGTCACTCCTCTTAACGACGTCGAATCTAGGCATCGAGATTTACGCTTGGTAAGTTTTGTAGATGGAATGCTAAGATACACGGAAGTGCACTGAGACCTTGTGGCAGACTGTTAAATATTTTAATCTGGGAAGCGAATCTTTGTAGCCATACCACTCCATTTCGGATCGATTTCGCTAACCAAATAAACCAGACTACTATGCACTAAGCATAGCCTGAAAGAGGCTATAAAGTATTAATGCATTATAGAGAGCAATGGACTAAGTAAGTTCTAACCTATGGTTTTGTTTGGTTCCATAAATAAATTATCTAAATTGGACAATAGGGACTAACTGGGATTAAAAAGTCCTTCCACCCGCCGAATAATTGCAGTACCTTTTATGCCGAACTTGTAGCTGTTTATGTCTTAACGGAGGAGGGTTGGTCGGTAGTGAGAAACTGTAGTAAATTTCCGTAGATCATTCAATGTGATGGCAGGGTGGTTCGCTGTAGCCAAGTTTTGGGCGGAATAAGACATTAATGGTTCCCAAGAGTGGCTTTTGCTGAACAGAGGGGTCGTATCTATGGACGTTGCTCTAATGACAGGTCATGCTCTTATAGGAAGGCTAATGGTAAGACTAAGTTCCTCATACAAGATTTTTGCAGATACTGTAAAAATGTACAAAATATCCTGAAACCATTAGGCGGTTGCAGTTCCTGCTCTTTGTTACATGGTTACTCAACTTTGACGTGTTCCTTTAGAGAGAAAGTACTCTCAGCGATCAGCAAACGTAATAAGATTGGCGATTGGTGGCTGCCTTCCTCATTTCCGCAGAAATTGTCTATAAGGTCCGCCTAACTTTCCTTATCACGAACTTCTAGATATTAGTTAAGTCTTATTTTGTACAGTTTCCAGTCGAAGACTACGCCCAATGATTAAACGCCCAATGATTTAAAAGTCTTTTTAGATCTTCTGTCTGGTTCAACAGATGGCATATCTTGCTACACTTCCGTTGAGAAACACAGGGCAATGGATTGCAGCGTCAGACCGTTGTGTTGAAACTCTGGTTACGTATAAAAGCTTCGTCATGAAAATCCCAAGAAGAGAGAAATAGTAAGCTACTACGCTCCACCCGGTAGTATAGTAAATTTCACAGATGGTTCAAAAATGAACGGTGGAGTGGGAGGGAAGCTCTTCTCTTGCAGCCCTGCGCTGAGCCGCTCATTTTGGCTACCGGACTACTGTGGGGTATTCCAGGCTGATGTTTCAGCTATAAACGAACTTTGTATTGATTAAAGCTGTGAGTTCCGTCACAATTAAACCAAAAATTGTGCTGAACTTCTGCCGCTCTGTGCAAGAGATAGCTAAGCAGAAGAGTCTAAACCTCATTTGGGATCCCGGTCATGTTGATAAAGAAGGCAACTGTATGGAGTGGCAATGGGGTACGACCAAGCAGATTCTTCGGGGCAAAGAATGCATTTTTATGCCCTTCGCCACTTGTAGGTTGCTTTTAAATGAATTTATCTACACTTCCGCAAGCAAGGGATGTAAACTGTCGATATTGTAGGCAAAGTCGCGAAGCTTAAATTCTCTAAAGACGGAGGATATATCTCACACAATTGGCGCTCTAACAGACCACTGCCTTATAGATAAACACGAATAAATGCTCGGAGTGCCTTGCATTAGATGCTGCAGAAGTTTCAAAAACTATGAGGGGTAGGAGACATTTCTCCATCTTCTTTGTAACCGCCAGACGTTATTTAGGAGCAAATTGGGCTTTCTGGGGCCTCCTGCCCTTAGTGACCTTGACAAATGGGGGTATTTTAATCCTAGGTGCCTGACGATTTTCGTCAAATTGGAGGGAAAACTTTTAGTCTGTGGTATTCCAACGGGTCTTCCACTAGTAGTGGTGGCAACACCTACCTACGTACCTACCTACCTGCATATCAACAATCAGCAAGCGATTTGCTATTCTGCAAATAGTCTTCGACGATTAGACAGTCCTTTGACAAATACTTGAAACGTTTTTTTTTTAATTCTGGAGATGAAAATTCCCTTCCTTGTCATACTGGCAACTCCACTACCGTAGGCTGGCGCACGTAGGAATATTCATCGGACCAGAAAACCATGACACAGTCAGAGTGGAACCCTCATTTTAAACACCATAAAGCCTCTGTAACCAAAATTTACACTCACTTACCTTAATAGTTTTAATCAAATTCCTATTAAAAGTCTCGAACATCTTTGCACCCTCACAACTGCTCGTTCTACTCCACAGGCTATTTACGCTACCCGTAATGGCTGACTTCATCAGACTCTGCTTAGCATCGTTGCCACCGCAAACACTCGCTGGCGATTTAATTTGTTGTTCCATCGCAGACTCAGCCAACTCAATGCCAGCACTACTTTTAAGTCTCTCGTAATCCAGCAAATTACTTTGTGAACAGCCACTGAGCAACGGCTTGGCCTCATCGTCCAGCTCATCATTGCCAATTGACTTTGGTGTACTTTGCTCTTCTGGCTTTTTCGCAACATTTTGCATTGCGTTCGAACCAACTGTGCTGACAACGCCATTAAGCAACTCCAACGCTGTGCCACCACCTTCCAGAAATCGTCGCTGATAACTAGTTTTCATTTGTGTAACCCCCGTTGCCGGGCTATTCGTCTCCAACAAATACTTCTCAGTGCCATATGTACCCAAATGTGTGGTGGGATAAAGTAGTGTGGTGCTCAACTTTGCAGCGGCGATGCTATTTTGGTGTTGCAAAGCGCCACTACCCGCCGTGCGATCACACAAACGATGATGCCCCAATATGGGATTCACCATCAAGTCATCCTTCTTGGCCGGCGTAAACAATTTATCCATATCATTGAGATCCGATACGGAGCTTTTCGTTTCCGAGATCACAGAATCGCTGGACTTAACCAATTTCATTAGATAGGGGCTATTGGTGCGTGAAGGTGAATTCAAATTGCTGTGACAACGTAGGCACAATTGTGTGAGCGGTTCACTGAGATTGCCGCCGCCGCCACTAAGCGGCAGTTGATAAGGTGTTTGCGTGGAGACTGTATAGGAGCGCGACACATCAGCCAACACCGTTAGATCCTGCTTGGAGCATTGACAAGTGTCACAGTGTTTCACTTCACTCGCTTTCAGTTCATCCTCCAGGAACTTGGCCATAATAATGGGTGAAATCATATCGGGATCATTTGAATCGCCATTACTAAGGGGTGATGAATTTGTTGTTGTATTTGTATTATTGTTGCCATTTGCTATGACGTCAGTATTCAGTTCGGTGTTGGACGATTCGCAGGCATTGTTATTGGTGGCTGTTATGTTATTATTAAGTAGTGGCTCTTTGATATTATTGTTTTCGTTATTGCCATTGTCAATGTTGTTATTATTATTGCTGAGATTCATATTGGAATCTGTTGAATTGCGCTTGGCGTCTACATTAATAAAAAAGCGGATGGGGATGAGAGAAAAAATTAAATTTGCATAAGTAATTATGTGGTTATATGTTTTTTTTTTTAGGAATGGCAGAGATTTTTTTTTATTATAAATGAAAAAACAGTATTTCATTATATTCTGCTGCAATTCTGATAAATAGTAAATAATGTAACATATTTAAATACTTTTGTTCTGAGTACTAATTTGAATTAAAGTCATTTAAAAAATAAAACCATTTTAAATCAATTGTTTTTATGGCGACAGATGATAAAACAATTATAACGAGTTAGGGCGTTTTTGAACTGGCTGCCCTGATAGGTCGATCTTCCACGCAGTCATCGATATCCCATCATATAAAGTAATGTATCTTTGTATTTGTATGTTTTTTTTGCTTAAACAAAATAAAGCAGCTTTAATTACAAAGAAAAAACGAGTCAGGGTGAAAGAAAAATTTATTTATAATAAAAGTCATAATTTAACCGTTAAAATTTGGTTACTATTTTTTTCGCTTATTTAGTCGTTATTATATGACTTAAATATTTTCATTCAAAAATAATAGTTTTTTATTTAATTTTTTCGATAAATTTTTCGTAGTTTTCGATCGTATTATAACCGTTATTTTCAGGTTTAATTTTTTAGATCTTAAATACTGTTTAAATCGTTCATAAAAACGCAGACGCTATTATAACGGTTAAAAAGGATCAGTGGAAAAAAAATCCAAAATAACGATTACTTTTAGCCGAAAAAATCACAAAATAACGATTAAATTTGACGGCAAAAATAAACATCTAAATTTAGCGGATATTCGCCATCGAAAAAAATTTATTTAAAAAATTACGAATTTTCAATGCTCTAAAAATAAAGATCTTTATATGTAACGGTTTTTTCGGTTCATATTATTTAGTACTTGCCGCAGGCCCTGGTCGAGTTCCCGAACAATATTTGACTCAGTTTTTTGTTAAACAAATTTAAGTAAAAAAATGGGTTTAGAAAAAAGAGTGTAATAATAAAAATTTGCGATATTCAAAACCGATAAACTTAAGTATTTTTTTCACTTCATGGTTTGAAAAAAAACCCCTTACTTCATGCAAAAATATGATTAAATATTTATTAGACTCAATGGAAAATTGGAGGAGCTATAGAATTTTTTACAAGGAATCACCTTTGAAGATGAGCTCAAGTGCTTAGAAAGGCTTATTCTATCCTCAACGAAAGGGCCTCTGTCGACTCTCCTTATTTTGTTTTTCAATATAAAGACAATGAGTAGGTCAGTGGTTAAATATTTACAGCCGCTATGCCATTTTGTTAGCTTGAAAAATTCATTACATCAAGATGCTCTGGAATAACAACACAGCATATTAAGAAACCCAAAAAAGAGCTAGGCTCAAGAGCCCCTCAGAAAACATAATTCTCGGTAATTTAACTTCATTTATTTTTTAATTAAGTTATTAAAAAAAACATTTATTTAATTAATTTTAATTAAGAGAGCAAAAAACTTGTTGAAGTCCCTGACTTGTTGGATTACAAACAATATTTTGTGCAAAGCAAATATACATAGCCACTGTCGCATCACTTCATTCGCTATTAAATCGTCAGTAATAATAACTACATACACCGTTTTATACATACTATATAAATAGTAGTATGCTGATTAACTGTATAGGCGCAAATGCCGAGCGTTGAATTTACTTTTTTACCGCTTCCTTATGTAATTTTTTTAGGCAACCCACACGTAAAATAGTGAAACACCAACTAAGGGAAAACGAAAGTAGAAATCAATGAAACTGATTAAATTATAATAAATAAAAAAAAAACAAAGGAAAACAACTAAAATCACGGTCTACTAACACTTACCAAGCCCCCGCATTGAGTATACCATTGCTGTGGGCGGGAAGGGGCACGCTGTTGGCGGTGGTGAATCCGATGCTGGAAGTACTTTGTAGGAAGCTGTGGTGGCGGTACCCACACCGCTAGTGCTGCCCTCCGAATCGGAATGTGAATTTGTCTCCAGGCGCATGTAGGCTGATACTTTCGATTGAATGTCGATGGGTAGCTGCGGCATGAAGGGGGGAAATAAGAAAAATGTACAAACATAGGTACGTATGTTGTGTATTTAAAATTATACTAATACAATGACTAATCTGAACTTAAAATATATTGAAAAATATGTTCAGAAAGGGCGTTTTTGAGTCGGAAACTGGGATAAGCGTTTTTGAACCGAATTCTAAAAAAAAGGCGTTCTTCAATCAAATTCTGAGAGAGGGCATTCTTTAACCAAATTATGAATTAGAGCGTTCTTTAAAAGCTTTCTGAGATAGCACGTTATCGAACTGACTTCCGCGATTGATCTTTCGCTCAGCCGTCAATATATATGTAAATGATCGATTCACATTACAGACCCGCTTCGACCCCTTATTGCGGATGTCTTCCTTATTTGCTTTACGTTGCTATGCGAACCTAATCTGCCTTCGAGAGCTTGATCAAAGATTTGTTATAGCTCCTAAAGAGAAGGTATTATTGAAAAAGGACTGCCTAAAAGCGCTTATTTCGCTTTAAGAGTTTAAGATTCTAAACAAAACTATTAAATTACCCAAGGAGGCAAATTTTTTGTTCGAGTCCTTATCTGGCAGCTTGTGCTTTGTCAAAGTACTAGTGGATGATGTGTTAGCATAGAATCAGACTTCAGAGGTGTCAACGGTTGAGTTGATACATGAGTATCGCGGTGACCACACATCCAGCAGATCAGAGTAACTTTGTGCCGATGAACTAGGTTCATAATACACTCCTTGGACTTTACAAATGTCAATATAACAATTTCGATTTACATATAGTGGAAAATCAGTTCTAAGTCGAATAGAGGCTACAAGGCTCTTAAACAGCAAAGAGTTCAACTTAGAAGTAGGACTGGGTTCTGGAATTATCGAAAAAAATATTCCCACGAATTGATAACCTTCATTTTTCAAAAAATAAAAAAAGAATTAAAAAAAAATCTAAAAATTTTTAAAAGTAGAAAAAGCGCTCTTCTATAAAATTCAGATTCTGCCACATACGATAATTTCACCCAAAGGGGTCGATATTTTCGACCTGGTTTCTCGGTTTCGATCCAGAGAAACCAGAATCAGATGCTACATACTACCATATTTTTAGCTCGTGCAAAGTCGATTAGCTTCAGTACCTTATCGGAAATTGCATATTTTTTGAATTACAAATTATTTAAGTTTTATAAGTTTGTTCTTAGAAAAGGGCATTCAAAAATTAAGCAAAACTAATCATTGGTAGAAATAAATCACTTAGGATATTTTTTGTTAGAAACTTAGGCTGAATTTCTAAAAAAAATTTGGCTAAGAAAACATTGTATTTTAAACAATATTTCAATACATATTCAAACGTCCATAACATATAACTGAATCAAAATATGTTTAATTTTTAATTTTCACTTACCGATGATACTTTCTGTGACATAAAACTATCCGGTTTGCATTGCAACAGTTGTATCGCTAAATTTATATCAGACTTGTAGCGTTCCTGAAATAAAAAAAAAAGTTGAATTTAATATTACAGTTATTAAATATTTATATGTGTATAAATAACTTTATTCCGGTAGTTATGTATTGCACATTTTTGCTTACAAATTAAATAAAAGTTGCTAAATTATGTGTAAAAAAACAATTTGCAAACAACCTCTGCCCTATCAAGCTCAGCACAAATTTTAATCTACTCTCTGCGATAAAGTGCAGATTTTTTAATGAAAACCAAACAAATATTAAACTAAAATAGACAAAATGCACAAACTACGAAATGACTTAAGCGCTGCACTCAACCAGAATAAAGTTGCACGTGTTAGCAGCACATTTGTACGCCAGGTCGTATGAGCAACCAAAATAATTTCACTTTGACCCTGTAACAATGAATGTGGGTTTAAACGCACATTCACACACATAGCTATGTACACATGTACATGTATTAAATTTTTCACATCTTCACACTCTCTCTTTACGCCATGTAGGCGAGATGTTCCAAAAATAATTTCTGTGAATGTCAAATCTTCTTTCATTTGCTCTGTGCCACTTATGTATGTAACACACATCCGTCCGTGTACATATGTATGCCTATGTATATTTATGCATTTGTGCATTTGTGTGTTAAGTTCTCGTACGATTGACCTAAATCCTTCGAATGGAACACAAATTTTCATCTTACCAAATGCAATTTGCATGTAGCAAAATATGGTGGTGAGGAAGCACGAAATTGTTAAGAATTCATGCAGATGTGGCAGCACAAAGTCAACAACTGCAACAAATTCGATTCGATTGTTTTTCAAATTTGTTGCTACTACATAGAAGTGGCCTCGGTTGTTGTTTGTTGCGTTTTACTGATTTTTTTGTACTATTTACTATGTAGAATTTATTGCAAGATGTCTGTTATTTAGAGGTGATGAATTAGATATGCAGTGTATACAATGCCTTACACTCGTTGGAGCATACTGTACTATGTATTTATATGTATGTATGTATGTATGCTAATGTGTTATTTATTTATGCATGCATACTGCTACAAAAAAGTATACAATTGCAATGTGCTATGTAATTTGATATATATGTAAGTGCATATGCGAGTACTGCAGTAATATAAAAAGTTTTAATTTTTAATTTACATTGTCAATTAAACTCGGAAAACTAATTTTCGAATAGCTTTGCTAATTTAATAAACGTGGTTTATACATAAGTATGATAGACAGAAGGCATACTTCTAGCATTTTAGACGTGCGAACACTCCGAGGGCCAAACATCGACTCGGGGACCACTATCTTGTTGTAGCCAAGATACGCACCCGCTTCTGTGCAGCAAAAAATTTGCGTCCAACAATGCAAGAAAAGCTGAACGTCGAAAAGTTGCAATCACAACAGACGGCCAATTTATTCGCCACTCGACTCACACACCTGCTCTCTGAGAGCACCCTTCACCCGCCATATGCGAGCAGCGAAACCACATTTCCCGATCATTAAGTACCGCCGCCGAAGAAGTAGTTGGATTTCAGCGAGCCCGAAAGAATAACTGGCACGATGTGGAATGTCAAGAAGCCGCAGAGAAAAAAGACGCCGCCTATAGGGCCATGCTGCGATCGGGCGAACCCGAGCCATGTAGGGAACTGAAGACGGAAGCGAGACGTATTTGCCGCAATAAAAAGAAAGAAGCCGATATACATGAGTGCGAAGAGCATGAGATGCTGGCCGACGAATAGCAATAGCGCGCTTGAAAAACAACAAAGCCACTGGAGCTGACAGCCTGCCAGCTGATCTGTTCAAGAGTATATCAACTCTTATGCAGAATATGGTCAGATGAACGCATGCCCGACGACTGGAATCTAAGTATGATCTGCCCAATTCAAAAGAAAGGCGATCCCGTCATTCGCGCCAACTACCGCGGAATCAGACTTCTAAGCATAGGTTATAAGGTCTTATCGAGTGTATTGTGTAAAAGACTGAAGCCCACCGTCAATGAACTGATTGGACCTTAGCAGTGTGGCTTTAGACCTGGCAAATCCACCATATATCAGGTATTCACAATACGCCAAATCTTGGAAAAGATCCGCGAGAATAGGATCGGCACACACCATCTATTTGTCGATTTCAAAGCCACTTTCAACAGCATGAATAGAAGTTGTCTTTATGCCGCGATGTCTGAATTTGGCATCCCCGCTAAACTGATACGGCTGTGTAAAATGACGTTGAGCAATACCACTAGCTCCGTCAGAATAGGGTAGGACCTCTAAAAGCTTAAACAGACGGCAGCGTTGATCAGGATTAACTGGGACTTAATCCAGATCACCAATCCGGGCAAGTTAATTCCCGAGTTGATCCGGGTCAACGCTGCCGTCTGTTTAAGCTCTAAGTCACTCATCATGCCATGTCTTTCGAATGGACAGAAACGTTCCTGCTCTGAAAGTATTCAACGCGCGGCCGCGATGCTGGTAACAGAGGAAGAGGAAGGCCTCCTCCGCGTTGGAAAGACCAGGTGGAGAAGGACTTGACTTCTGTTGGTATTTCCAATTGGCATCAGTTAGCACAGAAGAGAAATGACTGGCGTGCTGTTTTGGACTCTTCTAGAGATTCTTTCAAACTAGTCAATACATATTGCATTTGTAATTTGTAAAGTATTCAAATTTTATTACCAAGTTCTTACATACATAAATACATACTTTACTCGGAATGAAAAAATTCATTTTTAATTAGACTATTCGTTCCTGGCATGCACACGAATTTATTAAATAATAATTAACTTTAACCGCAGAAAACAATTCAGTAACAATTGAGTGATGAATAGCAGCAGAGGGGAACCCGGGTCACGCATATAGTAATTACGCACATACATACATACGTGGGTGTGTATTTATGCATTTGCAGAGCTAAATGAAAAGCCGTTAACTTGTAATAAAACAGACAGAGATGAAAACCAAATTTAATAATTCATCGCCATTTTCGATTAACCATAAACAAATGCGAATGTGTATGTAAACACACACACAATATAAATGCATGCATGTAAATTTTGTTGATGTTATGCAGGTACCATCATTTTTTTCGCTACATACATACATATATTTACATACAGTTTGAATTTATTAGCAGCTGGCACAAATGCAGGTACTCTCGTATTAGGTATAAAACGTAAGCATGTGGGGGGGAGCATATGCAAATCAACCCTGCAATGAAAGTCTCTTTAAGCTCCATTAAAATTCTAATTTAGGCACTACACAGATTTCTAAAACAACGGATTTTCGGCTACAAACACTACATACAAAAATTATAAGCGCAATTTTTTGTACAGCTGTTCTTCTTACATGGGTTTAGACTAGTGTTATGCCGCATATGAAATTCGCTAGTTCCTTGCGTGGAGCAGAAAAAATGGCAAATCAGAACGAGTCAGTTTCCCAACAGGGTATACACAGAAATGCTTGAATATACATATATATAAATTAGGCATATGACTTTTTTTCTAAAATTAAATATACCTATGAGCAGAGAATGAAGAATGATGAAAAAATTATAGTTTTTTATCAAAATTAGGAAAAAAGTTCCCGCAGGGATCGAGAAAAAAACCTGTACTGGTAAAAAGCATTTTTTTTTTTGAAAGTGGGAAAAAATTCGTTCATGGAAATTTCAGCAATACACAGATACCTCCTTTTTACATCAGTGATCATCGTTCAATAGACGGCGATTTCTTGATAAAGTAATTAAAAGGCACTTTGCTACAAACGTTAACGCACAAATTTTTTTTTAAAGTAGAGTAAGTCCACTCATACATATTATTTAAAGTTTTGGAACGTTAATTTTTTGTAGATATTTGGTGGGGAAGTTTTAGAATTCGAAGCGTAAGTTTTCCGTACTTTATAACACCGTAGGTATGCTAAAATGGTCGTCGAGTACGAATCTGTATACCGTTTTTCTAGATCAGGTGATTTTTCCAAGATTTATCAAAAATAAATAAAAAAACTGTAAACAATATATTGTTTTTACCGAGCTTAAGGTCAGATATAAATCAAACACAATTTGTACTTTGTATTTGTTTTATAAAAATTTTGTTTGATTTATATCTGGCATTGAGCTCAAAAAAAAAACAATGTATTACTTAAAATTAACGGCCAATAAAACCAGCCTAAAAAATTTTAAACTTAAAAAATAAATTTTTGTCAAGTTTCTTGGCTTGTGTTTAAGCTACTAACAAAGAAAATCTATGGATAAATAAAAAAAAGTAAATTTTTTAATGAAGGACACCATCAGCAACACAAATTGCTAAAATCAACGCAACTTTTTTAACAACTTGAAACTGGCATTTTCTTGCACTAAACTTTAATGGGCTACAAATCCGCATACTCAAAATCTTTATAGTAAATCTTATAAAAAAGTTTCAAATTTGTAAGAAAATTTATTTAATTTTCCTGAGTTTTGCACAAAGTTGAGAAGTCATGTCTTTATGTTTTTGATTGTAGGATAAACTGTATATATTTTTTATAAAAAATTAGCGAAATAATTTAAAATAAAACATAGTGCATACTTTGTGAAAAACTCTCTATATCAATAATTTTGTGCTGGAATGCTGAAAATAAATGTTATTATCTTGCTTTATTTATTCTGTACATTAAAAAATCCATTTCAGTAAAGTAAATGTCTACAAAAATTAGGGCACTTAAATTTCTTCTGTCTTCATTTCTTATAATATATTATTCTTGAAACTGGTATGAGTTCATTCACAGCTAAATAATCGTTTATTTTCTTTGAAATGTTTAATAATTATTTTTGCGTAGTAAAATTTAGCATCTCAGACAGGTTTTAAAATTTATCTGCACAGAACTAAAATTTGTTTTTAAAGGGAAAATAAAGTTTTAAAGCTACTTGGGAAAACGATACCAAGAGATTTAAAAACATCCCCCGCATTGATTAACATTTACCAATATTTTTAATTTAATTAAGATGCAAACCCTTAAATATCTCGACATATTAAAAAATGGACTTGTACCACTCTCAA